AGGTACCAATTGGGATCATATAGTGTTTCAAGTATATTGAAGTTTTGATAGATTGCACTTTCAGCTGTCATAGCTTTAGGAGACGAGTTGTTAAAAACACCACTATTATAGCTATCATTATTTGTATTATTGAAAATCTACTTGGAATCTTGAAATTGAGGGTCAAACCTATGATAGCAATTTAGTGTTATATGTCTAAACTTACCACATACCTATAATTAAGGTCTGTTTTGAGTTCTACCGCCTCGATTATTGTATCTCTCTTTACTTTTGAAGCTGAAAGAACATTTGTTATGTGTAGTTGAGTTCCTTCCTTTGCTAATATTGCAATTTGAATTTCTCATGAACCTTGAATCCTAATTTTGTGTAAGATTTGCTTGTACATAGAGAGATCTTTTCTTTTATGCCTTTCTATTCTTTCATCTATGGTAATTACTAATGCTTCAATCTTAGTGGTTAAGTATAGATTAAACTTGATATGTAACAATAAGATCATACTCTTTAAATAGACTATCTAGAATGGCTTTGATGCATTCTTATTCGTTAATTGAAGAACCACTAACATTTAATGTATTTGATATTTTCATGATGGAAAGAAAGCAATTGTTGATAGTACTTGTTTTCTTAATATTCTTGAGTTGTTGTGGAAGTTGGTTAATTTTGGCTCTTATTATTGTGGTAAAATAAACTTTTTATTTCTTCTAGATTTGATAAGAAAATTCACATAACCATGCATGTATGAATACTTGGTGACCTAGAGGCAAGGATCCATGTTATAAAGTAATCCTACTACTCCCATTTTGTAAATTATCAGACTTTATCTTTGGTTGAATCTTCATCCAAGAGATATGTTTTCGATTTTCCTCTATCTTTTTCATAGATAATCCTTTGCAAATTGTGTTCCTTGATGGTTCCCAGTGCTTGTTATTTTCATGTAAAAAAAATTTCATCATCCAATTTGATACTAATAGAGACAAATAGTGGTTGTATGATAGTCAAGGAGGATCGTACAATGCCCAAGGCCATAGTAATAGATTGTGCTTTGATACTACAAAGGTTTTTGAGCATTAAGGGTTAAAGGAAGGAGTGAACACAAAGTGAGAGAGAACAATATAAATCAAAATACAAAGGTGTTAGACAATGTGTATATATATATATATATATATATATATATATATATATATATGTAAGTAAAAGTAACAAACTACTTTTTGTCTATATAACAAAACAGATTAAAAACTAGTAATAGATATAACAAATAATTTTAACTAACTTTATCTCTAATATAATAATTACTCTCAACATCAACATGGAGAACATGGAGCAACCTTGTGAACAAACATGCATGTTAACACACCAAAGCAACTATCAAAGCCCCCATATCTTTGTACAAATGCAAAAATTAGAGTATGATTACAAAATAAGGGCAGCCACTCTTGGATAACGTTTAAGGTAAAAAGAGAAGGAGGCTATTATAATAAGTAGCAATGGAAGTTGTGGAGATGGAAAATAGGAAGAAAATTAAAGAAATTAGAGGGATTGGGAGATGATGGGTAGAGTCTTGAGGAGAATGAGAAATGATTTCATGCTTAACGCACAATACTAAAACGCTAACAAAATACAAAAATTTTAGGCTCAAAATGTATCCACCATTTGAGTTAGACACTAACAAAACTAATAAACCCAACTTGTGTTTGGTCAACAAAATTTGTCTCATTAAATCATTTTTTAAACCATACCCATTGACCCCAACTTGTTTGTAACACCTTAAATTTAATTTTCAATAAATAAATTTCAAAAGAAAAATAGAAATAATAAAAAATTTTCATTGAAGTGGTTCTTAGTGTAAAAGTTCAAACAAATATTTCAAAGTGAGGATGGTTTACAAGTTTGTATCAATAATTGCTACAAGACTTAATTAATACATGAAATTTTCAAAATAAATTTATAAGTCCTATAGCAATTTCATTCATCCTTCACTGAGTCCAGTGCTGATCATCTTGGTCACCTAAAAAACAAATGTAAGGTTGAGTACTCTACACTATCCAATATACATATAACCTAGAGACTCACCTTGCACACCCACATGCATTCTAACATAATCCACTCAAGTATAGGCAATCACAGACAACACTTTCAAGTAATTCATTTTAATTCATAACCGATACACTCACGACACCAAAACATTTTTTGATACACATGTGTTCACTGCACATAGCCATGCTCACTGTGATCACAGATTCACACTATGGATGGTCGCTGATTACCCTCGCCTCACGGATACCGTATGGGCAATCATGAGTCACTCGGCAAAGGTGTTGGTCAGAGGTCTAGTCAGGAAGAGAGTGTGTAGCCTGTGGTGCACCCACGCTCATTGTTGGTGTCATCACCACTCTCTCTTTCCCAAGGTATTTCTACTGTCCCCATTGATAAATCCATATTTACCAGTATTTTATCTTAGTTTTAATACATTTGATAGAGAAAACATGTTAGAAAAAGTCATGAAAATAAGAGAATGTTCAAAGTCTTTTCTAAATACATAGTTGTTTAGATTTTATGAATTTTCTATATAGGAATTAATGATTCAATAGGAAATTCTGAGCTAAATTCATAAGGCTGGAAGATTAAGAGAGAGATAGAAGAAAAGTAGCAAAAATTGGAATTAAGGAATAAGGTCTATGAAACAAGAGTTGGGCGTTATCACTTTTATTCACAAAAGTGATTGTTCTAGAGCCTAATATTGAAGGATGACTTGCGCATTATCACTATCGCTAATGATAGTGATCGTTCCAGAGAGCTCTCAAGCATAGCAAGGTGCGCGTTATCACTTTTGCTCACAAAAGTGATCGTTTCAGAGAAGCCTTTAAGAAAGTAAGTTGGGCGTTGTCACTTTTGCCCACAAAAGTGATCGTTCCAGAGAAGCCTCTAGGAAAGCAAGTTGTGTGTTATCACTTTTGTTCACAAAAGTGATCGTTTCAGAGAACCTTCCATCACTGCAAGCTGCGTGTGTCTCCTATTGTTCACGAAAGTGAACATGCACAAACCTTTAACCTCTGCGTTGCTACTTTTATGAAGAATAGTGATCATTCCAATCCTAAAGATTATCAGAAAGGCCTCTGCTTGGCTACTATAGTGAAAAATAATGACCACGCCAGAAAGGCGGGAATTCTATAAATACGAATTAGCTCAGATCTGTTAGGATCTTTTTGTTCATTTTTACTTTCCATTTGTTTTTTGGTGTTGAGAGAGTGTGAGAGAGAGATTGGGGATAAACATCAAGCTTCAAATCTTGAGGAATCGGATTAAAGATTGACTTGAAGATAATTCTTCGTTCATCTTTTTCTTCTCTCTCTCTCTCTTTTCATTTTGTAATGGTTGCTTAAACTATTTGTAGTTAGGGATTGTGGATCTGAAATGTAAGTGTTGAATTGATTTTGGATCTAAACTTTGAGTATTGGATTAGATTGAGTAGATGATTCTGTTAATCAAGTAGTTGTTCAATGGAAATTTGATTTACTAATCACAGAGAAACTTTTATCAAAGGAAGTTGAACTTGTTTCTCATATCTGAATCAATTACCAAGATTATTGATTTCTTAGGGATAAGACATCTTGATCTTGCAATCTTTTGGTTTACAATGCTTAATACAACATTTAATTGAACCAGATCTAAGGAATTAGAATGATTGAATTGAATGTTAGATTCACTGAGTTAAGGAATTAACCTTTTATTAATATATCGTGAAACTGATCATCATTCCATCTAAATACTTAAAAGTTTAGAAATTTATTGAATCAACACTGAAGTTTTGGTGAAACAAGTCCCTAATTATGTTTTCTACATCTGTTAAATACACATTTTCATTATCTTTGTTCTATTCTGTTTTCTGAGTGTAATATTTGTTGCTTTTGCTTCCAAACTTCAACTGAATTTCATAAGGTCAACTACTTGTTAACTTGTGAAGTGATATTTGAGAATTTTACTCCCTGAGGACGATATTTGGGACTCAAACACAGTTCTAACAATTTTATAACTTGCTACAATAACACTAGTACACTTGCTAGTCAATTTTACTTCTGTTGAGAAAATGACAAGTTTTTGGCGCCGTTGCCGGGGAATAGTTGTTTTCAATATCATTAATAACAGGAAAATAACTAGATTGAGCATTTGTTTTCTTTAATTTTCTGCAATATCAAAATTACATTTAGAATTTTCTATGTTATAATCAATTTAGTAGTTAACTCTGTACCTTCATAGTCTTATTTCTGATAAATTTTTGTATTTTTATAAGTAGTTTCATTATTTGCATATTGAAATAGTGCAGTTCTATATCTGTGTTTGTTTCTGAAATTGTGTACAAATTCTGTAGTTTTCAGATTTTTTTTCACATTTTCACTTTATTTTAACTGTATATGCATGGTAAAAACAAAAATAAGTCTACTCTTGTCTTTGATCCTGATATAGATAAAACATTAAGAAGATTAAGAAAAAAGGCTAGAGCAGAAAATTCTATAGAATGTGATAGTGACTTAGAAACTATACATTCTCCAAAAATTCAGATTACTCCTCTATAGAAAACACATTCACCTTTAGGACAGACAACTCCAAAAATTGAAATGGCAGAACAACATAAAATGAGAACACTAGGAGATTATGCAATTCCAAATATGCATGGCTATAATTCTTCAATAGTTAGACCAATCGTTCAAGCTAATCATTTTGAAATCAAACCAGCCTTACTTCATTTGGTACAACAGGATCAATTTTCTGGTGGAATTTCTGATGATCCTAATTTGCATATTTCTAATTTTTTGTAGTTATATGATACTATAAGAATGAATGGAGTGAGTGAAGATGCTATAAGACTGAGGCTATTTCCATTCTCTTTGAGAGACAAGGCCAAGTGTTGGTTACAAGCACAGCCTCAAGGGAGCATCACTACATGGACAGAACTTGTGAACAAATTTTTAACCAAGTATTTTCCTCCATCAGAAGCTACCAAACTAAGAGGGGAAATCACATCCTTTGTGCCACAGGAAGGAGAATTACTTTATGAAGCTTGGGAAAGATATAAAGAGTTGTTCAGAAGATATCCACATCATTGTATTCCAGAATAGATGCAGTTGGAAACTTTTTAGAATGGAATGAATGTAGTGACTAGAACCATGGTGGATGTAGCTGCAGGAGGTTCTTTCAGCATGAAATCCTTAGAAGAAGCTCAAAGAATTATTGAAATGATGGCTTCATCTATGTACCAGAATTCTAACTCAAGACATGCAGGGAGAAGTAACGGATATGAAGCTAAAGCTATAGAAACTTTTCTAACACAGAATTAGCTGCAGAATCAATTATTTTTTGAGCAAATAGCAGCTTTGACTCAGCAGATCAGCAATCTACAAGCTGGAAATGTTGCAACCAATCAATTGAATTGTGATTTTTATGGAGGGAATCATGTTAATAGTGCATGTGATGTGCCTACACCAGATCCATAAGAGCAAGTCAATTATATAGGGAATTATCAAAGACAACAACAATTTTTTCCTCAGCAATTATTTCCTCCTAGGTTCCAATATCCAAATAACAGGAATCAACAATTTCACAAATGGAATCCTCAAAATTCTGTTGTGAGAAACATTAATCCTTCTCTTCCATTTTTGAATGCAGGAACTTCACAACAACAACAGTATTTTTAAGGAAATTCCTCTACTCAACCTCAAAGAAGTCAAAATTCGTCCAGACCAATGAATGAAAGAATGAATGAGATTGAAGAGACAATGCTGCAGTTCATGAAGGTTACTCAAACTAGCATTAAAAATTAAGAAGCTTCCATAAAGAAGCTAGAAACTCAGATTGGATAGTTAGCTAAACAACTAGCAAATAGAGATGAGGGGAGATTTCCAAGTAACACAGTGATAAATCCAAAAGAGTAGTGTCAAGCTATAACAATGAGGAGTGGAGCTGTGATAGTGATCAAGTGGAATGTTTACAATCTTTTTTCCTCTCATTCCTAGCTTATTAATCCTCTTTTGTGCCTAATTGGTTTGAATTGGATCATTTTATGATATTTGAATTTCATTTGGGCTTTATTTAATTTTTCCAGCATTAGGCAAATTCTGATACTGTTTTGGTTTATAGGCCATATCTTGAGTTGTATAGCACATTTCATTATGATTCTTGATTTGTAGGAAAGCTGAGAGAAAGGCGCACAATTCCTATGCAGAGGTCAGAAACCAATTCTAATGATAAGATGTTGAAACTGGGCCTGAAAAAAGTCAGAAATATGCACTCGTAATTTCTGACCTTGGTGCAGTATTTGGGCCATATCTCAGTCCATAGATGTTTGTTTAAGCCTATTCTAGTTTCGTTTTGAAGCTAATATTTAGGGCTACAATTTTTCTTCATATCAGAAATCGAAACGGACAGATCTTCATGGCCAAAAATACCACACAATATCTTCTCAGATTCAGCATGGATACTGGGCAGCAATTACAAGCATAACTTTCCCTCCAAAATTCAAACTTGAACAAATAAGGATTCCAAAGATAGCTATTGAGTAGAGGATTAATGTAATTGAATAGTTATTAATTAGTTTTTATGTTTTGACCCTTAAAAAGGTCTGTATTTAAATTAGGGCAGCAGGTTGAAAAAGGGTTGGTTGTTTTTCGGGAGGAATAATACAAGTTTTAAGGTTTTTGTCTCTTCTTCTTTGCCTCTTCTCTTCTCTCACATTTTTACCTTTTGTTTTCCTCCATTAATGGAGGCTTATACTTTCATCTAATCCAAGGATTGAAAAAGGGTTGAGACATTCTTGAGGATCAGTTTTGCAATTCATTCGACAACAAATTCGATTTCATCTTTTCCTTTGTTTTCCTTTTGCTAATTAGATTTTCAAATTGAAGTTATTCATTTGGATTGATAATTGAGCAGTTGTTTGATTACATATTATTCAATTGATGTATGTAATTAATTTTTGAAGGAATGTGAATTAGATTTTCAGGTTTAAGGTCTAAGATTAATGGCATTGGTAAATTAAATTAACACAAATCAATTAGGTTTTAGAGGTTTCTGAACTTTGAGCGATTATGTGTTAATCGAATGCATGATGGTATTCATATGAATGCTTAATTTGAATTGAGGTTTCATTCGAATTTAATGTTAATCACTAATTTGTTGGCTGATGCATCTTATTGGAATTCGGTGATAGAATGGTCATAGTTCTTCTAAATTCTTGGATTAGAGTTTTCAATTCTTGTTAATTTTTCATTCTAATCAGTGTTATTTTATAAACCAAATCCCATCCAAATTCGTAATCGTATAACATTATCATCATTAGGAGACGACTCAAATTGCACCTCTTACTACATAATTTTTATGCAATTCAGTTTTTAATAATTTGTCCGAGCGCGACACTTGTGATCATCTAGTTAGTCCAAAACCTGCAGAAAAGAAAGTGAGTGATGCAGCAGAAAAAGGAAGAATAGAAAAGATCTGCAACAAGGAAATTTCAAGCTACTAAAGAAAGAACATTCAGAAAATAAGGTAAAAGCTCTTACAAATTTTGAGAGAAAGACAAAGAATCAGCTCTTTGAGGATGCTTGCAGACCAATTGATCCAAAAAAATATAAAAGGTTACCTTATCTTCAAAACGTGCAAAATCCTAAGCAAAAGAAGCAGTTTGAAAGATTTCTGAATGTGTTCAAGAAACTACAGATCAACATTCCTTTTGCAGAAGCATTGGAGTAGATGTCATCTTTTGCTAAGTTTATGAAAGAATTGCTTTCCAAGAAAAGGAAGTTGGAACATGACAAGACAGTGCCACTAATAGAAGAATGCAGTGCTATTTTTAAAAGAAAACTTCCTAAAAAACTCAAGGATCCAGGATCCTTCAGCATCCCTTGTAAAATTGGAAAATATACTGTGGGAAGAACTTTATGTGATCTAGGAGCAAGCATTAATCTCATGCCCCTAGCTATCATGAAGAGGTTGGGCATAGAAGAAGTGAAACTAACTAACATTACACTACAATGAGCTAATAGATCTTTCACTTATCCATATGGAGTTGTAGAAGATTTATTGGTTAAGGTTGACAAATTTATTTTTTCTGCAGATTTTCTTATTCTAGACATGGAAGTAGATGCAAATATACCTCTGATTTTGAGAAGACCATTCCTTGCAATTGGAAGAGCTCTTATTGATGTTCAAAAAAGAGTGCTCATGCTTAGAGTGCAAGATGAAAAGGTAATATTTAATGTTTTCGAAGAACTCAAGTATCCAATTGATGATAACTCATGTATGAGAGTGGATATACTGGATTCTCTTATTACTCCTTATCATCTTGATGAATTTGATGAAATTTCTATGTTGAGAGAAACCATAGCTGTAGGAAATACTAAATTTGTGATGCATAAGGAAGAACACCTTATGGAAATTATGTAGTAATTGGAAACTCTACCAGTCCTGACCCCTACAGAGAAACCAATCAAGGAAGAACTGAAAAAGGAAGTAGAAGAATAACAAACTCAAAAGTTAGAACTCAAGCAGCTGTTTTCTCACTTGATATATGCAATTTTTGGACCAAAATCATGAAAATCCAGTCATAATCAGCAATGAACTCAAGGAAGAAGAGGAAGAAAAATTGTTGAGAATTTTGAGAGCACACAAGTCAACAATAGGATGGAGCATATCAAACTTGAAAGGTATTAATCCAGCTTTTTGCAAACATAGAATTTTATTTGAAGATAAATTTAAACCAACAGCCTCAAAGAAAATTAAACCTTTCCATGAAGGAAGTGGTAAGAAAGGAGGTCATGAAATTATTAGACGCTGAGATTATATATCTTATTTTAGACAGCAGTTGGGTAAGTCCTATACAAGTGGTACCTAAAAAGGGAGGAATGATTGTGGTATCAAATGAAAAAAATGAATTGATACCTACAAGGACAATTACAGGCTGGAGGATGTGCATAGATTATAGAAGGTTGAATGATGTGACCAGAAAAGACCATTTTCCTCTGCCCTTTACAGATCAAATGTTAGAAAGGTTAGCTGGTCATGCATTTTATTGCTTTCTAGATGGATATTCTGGCTATAACTAGATTGTTGTGTATCCAATTGATCAAGAAAAGATAGCATTTACTTGTCCATTTGGAATATTTGCATATAGAAGGATGCCTTTTGAGCTTTGTAATGCTTCAGCCACATTTCAAAGGTGTATGCTTGCTATTTCTTCTGACTTAGTTGAGAAAATAATTGAAGTATTCATGGATGATTTTTCTGTGTTTGGAATTTTATTTGATGACTGCCTATCTAACTTGTCCATTGTTTTGCAAAGGTGCCAAGACACTAATTTGGTGTTGAATTGGGAAAAATGCCACTTTATGGTTCAAGAAGGAATAGTGCTTGGCCATAAGATTTCTGTGAGAGGAATGGAGGTTGATCAAGCTAAAATAGAAGTGATTAGTAAATTACCTCAACTTGTGAATGTAAAAGGACATCTTGATCTTGCAATCTTTTGGTTTATAATGCTTAATGCAACATTTAATTGAACCAGATCTAAGGAATTAGAATGATTGAATTGAATGTTAGATTCATTGAGTTAAGGAATTAACCTTTTATTAATATATATCGTGAAACTGATTGTCATTCCATCTAAATACTTGAAAGTTCATAACTTTATTGAATCAATACTGAAGTTTTGGTGAAACAAGTCCCTAGCTATGCTTTCTACATTTGTTAAATACACATTTTCATTATCTTTGTTCTGTTCTGTTTTCTGAGTGTAATATTTGTTGCTTTTGCTTCCAAACTTCAGCTGAATTTTGTCAGGCAACTACTTGTTAACTTGTGAAGTGATATTTGAGAATTCTATTCCCTGAGGATGATATTTGGGACTCAAATATAGTTCTAACAATTTTATAACTTGCTACAATAATACTAGTACACTTGCTAGTCAATTTTACTTCTGTTGAGAAAGTGACACTTATCTTCCACACCTCCAGTGTATCGTTGAACCATTCATAGCATATTTACAACCACATTTAACATGTCTCATTCACACACATTTCAATATAATCTACATTCATTACACTATACTCTATTCAATCTTTCCACCACACTCTCACCACAATCAATCAATATTCGTTTCATCATATTTAATCATGGAATTTCTACCAAAACATGCATATTTCGACATCCTATCTCAATCACATGGTCACACATAGCAAAATAAATGAAATCTAACAAAATGAGATAGGGTAGAGTTCCCCCTTACCTCAATTTGAAGACTCACAACGTGAATCAACAATAGAATTGTCCCCTACACAGGTTCCGTCCTAAATACACGAAGAATTTTCGTGAGAACTCAAAGAGAACCACGAAAATAGAGAATGGGGGTCGAGAAACCAAAACCCTAACCATAAAAACTTACCTTCAAACATCCAAAATGTGAATCCAACCTTCAATCTTGCTCCCAAACAGCTTTGGAGGCAATTTAATTAGTGAAATAAGGTTTGAGATTAAAAGAAATGAAGAAATTTCAAAGGGGATATGAGAAATGAAATTCTCCAAACCCTAAACCCTTTAAATCCCTTTCTGGTCGCAACACTCCTGCTACAGCGAGATACTCCCTTTGCGGCAGCGACACCCTCCCTCACTACAGCAAAAATCTCACAGAAAACTGCACTCTAGTTTCTATAGAATCTTGCTACAACGAGACCCTTTCGCTACAACTAGATTGCACGCAAAATTGCACCCCAAACTGTCGCTCTCTCGCTGCAGCGAGAACACCTTGCACCTTACACTTAGCCAAATTTTTAGTCCAATTTCCAATCATCTACAACAATTCTAGTTTCACCACAACCAATACACATGCTCATACTCGCATTTACACACTCATACAAGTTTACATCATCACATAATCATGTATTCTCATTACTACATATATATATATATATATATATATATATATATATATATATATATATATATATATATATATATATATATATCAAATACACAAACACATGAAAATTTCCATAACGCTTATATTAATAATCAAATAATATAACAAATTTGGGATGTTACACTGCTCGCTCGTTTTGATATTTTTTTTTCAATTTTATTGGATTTGGGTTAGGCCTTGATTAGATGCTTACTCATAGAGTCTTGTATATTTATGAAAATTAAGAAAGCTTCACTAGTGTTGTATGGCTTTTTGGTTTGCTAGGGAAATAAGTCTTAATAGAATGCCCTTCCCTCTAATTCTTTTTTGTGTCAAATTTTGAAAAATTTGAATTATAATATGAATATAATCAAATGATTTTTATCTTCATGTATTACATCAAGTTAATTTTACTGTATATCAAATAAGTATTAACTAGAAAAGAATATTAAATATAATTTTTTGGAAGTTGCTACATAGGGTAAATAACCTCATCTTAGGTGGTCTAATATCGTTAAAAGTTTGTATTGAAAATCGTATCAACTTTTGTTTGATATTTTTGTAGACCGTCTCATTGGTCTATCTAAGATAGGTTTATTTAGCTAACGAAATAATTTAAACAAACTATTCAATATTAAGGTTTGAATGATGTAAAGAGTATTTGAACTTATAGTGATATGGACCAATGCTCACTTATACAAAGGGATCTCTATCCTACACATTTTTACTATATTTTATATAAAATTGGTCAGAACCTTCTTTGATGTGTGTGTCTTAACTATTTTTATTTTAAATAATTTTTTATTTTATTTAATGCACAAGCCATATTATAATTCATAATGTTGATTTTTACATACATTTTTTTCTTGTTTCCTTATCTCTTTTCTTGGAGAAGAAACTTGACAATGTTGATTCATGGTAAATTTATAGTGTTTGGTTGGCTCTACAGTGACAATCAATGTGGAAGCCATAAATTACATATATTTAAACAGCACGTGGTCCATACTTTTGTTATGCTTATTGATTTTGATATAATTGTACGATCGAAAGAAAAAAAAATACAAATTAATTAGACTTATTATTTTTTAAATAAAAAATTACTAAAATAAAATAATTTTTTTGTTTGAAACTTTTTAGTCACGTCAGGTTTTGTTTTGTAACTTTTTTTTTACATGTATACAAAATTTTGTTCAAAGATGAAATAATATCAAATTTTAAAAAATTAAAATTAATTTTAATAGTTATCACCTTGTGTTGACTCCTTCCAAACATAATTCTTTATTTTGTCGTTGACAGGAATAAAATTCTCATAGCGACGTGTCAACATGGTCAACCATAATCATGTCTAATCCTTCCGCTATCCTAGTTGTAACTATTTTAAATAAATTATTTTAAATATTTACATACTTAAATTATAAATTTAAATAGTAAAAATTATATTTGTAATTAATTAAAATAAATTATTGTTAATTAGATATATTTAGTTATGATTAAATAACAAATTTAGAGTACTTAAGATAATATAAATTCTTTTAATTAAATTTAGTGTTTTATTTTCTTTTAAAAAAATTTATTTGGTTAAAATATAAATTTAATTTTAAAATATTTATTTATAAATTAATTACTTTATTTAAAAATTTATTTTAATTTTTAGACAAATATTTTATTATATTTAAATTTCTTAATCATTGAAGGTGATACAGTAAAGAAGAATAAAATATATCAAAATACTGGTGGATAAACTAAAATAAAATGTAAAAAATTTTTAGTGCAAGGAGGGCGAACGGCAACGGCAGGACTTAAATTGGGATATGCTGATTACGAAATCCTTTGCAACTGTAATCCACCCCTAATTAACAGTGAATAGATTAGAGTGCTGGGTTTGCCTTACACTCACTCCGAACAATGAGCAAACCGCCACGGAGTTTCACGGCGGCGGAGGAGAAGAAGGCTCCTCCTGCTACGGCCACCGCCGACCAAAGGAACAAACGCCGGGAAGCGCCGACCACAGTACTGTCCCTTAATCCCGACATCCTTTGCATCGTCTTCGCTTTCCTCAACATGTTCGACCTCGTTCGCTGCTCCCTCGTTTGCAAACTTTGGTACTTCACTTCGTCTTTCGCAATTTCAACTAAACCATCGCAATTTGTCACGTGCCTTACTCAAACGCGCGCACGCGCTCGTTCTTTAATTTCGTGAAGGAATTCTGTCCTTGAGTCCCGTTCGCTGCGAGAGTTTTATGAGAGGAGGCTGAAGGATTCTTCTACCTTCCCTTCGAGCTCGTATGAATTTGCCGAAAAGCCCTTGAGGGTGATTTTGGGGGATGTGGCTATGCAGCAGCATAGGTTGGCGCTTCAATGTGGTGGCGTTTACGTTGATCAGTGGAAGGGTCATTCAACCTCGTAAGTGACTTTTCTTCCATTCAGTGCTGTTTCAGTCACCTGCTTTACTTATATAATTGGAATTAGATTCAGTGACAATACTAGTTTTTGCGTAGTTGATGGAGATATTTGGCACGGGTGTTCCAAGTTTATGTGCCTACATTCTCAAAAGATTTGCTTACAGTGCTGCAGCACTAGTCCCATGCTCATTACATCAGCTTCAATCGTCACTGTTTCTCATAATTAGAACTTAATGGATTATATATGAAGAATCGGTCGATATACTATTGATGAACCCCTACTCAGTGCTATGTTGCATGCTTTTTGTGTGTCTGCATGATATGTACACATCAAATCAACATGTATTGATGTTTCATTCTTAACTTCCAATATAGTGTTGCTCAGTGCCGGATGAAAAGGGGCATACTTGTTACTGGCGTGGGTGATAAGGTATGTGCAGTGTTTTATTTCCTATATTTCCAATTTTCCATCCTTCAAAGCTTTCTTTGCTAAGCTGCTGGCATGCACAAGCTGTTTGTTTTATTGTCTATTAAATCTATGGTGGATTATGATTGCTTTGTGCTTAATGACGGAATTGATGTTATCTGTTCTAGAGCCAATCAATTCCTCTGTCTCATCTCCTCTCTGTTTTTCTGCCCTTTAAGACTTGCATATCTTGTACCAAGTACAATTTGCAAGCTTATCGCTCAGTAGTTAGTTATTAAACATGAATAGTGGTATGTCAATATATATCTTCACCTTTACACAAGACAGTATCTAAAGATCTTACACTGACTGAGGAACCTGCAAAGGTAGCAACAATAAATTGTTGCATAAAATTTGACATCATTAGCTGATAATTTCTGAAGTATGAAGTGCTTAGAACAGGAAGAAAGACTTTGACTGCTTATAATTTGAAGCTTCATAGGGTGGGTGTTTCAAGATGGATTCAAAATGAGATATTACAGATTAGTGGATTAGCAAGCTTGTGAGACATGTGAAAATGGAGGAACAGAGGATCTCTTAAATGGCTTAACAATGAACAAATGGGTTGATCCTGGTTCCATAGAGGGATGAGATGTGGAAGGATCAAGGTGCTTTTGTTGTTAGTCCTGTTTTACTGTGCTGCTTAATGGTGGTTGCCTCCCCATTGGGCTTTCATTTGAACATATTTCAAAACAGAATTTTAAACAGAGAGATATGAAAAAACAGAGGATGAAGAGAATGGGATTGTTGTTGCTCTCTGGCTTTTGCTCATGGTCATGGTCCCTGGGTGCAGAGAACTTGTGTGTTGTGTTTATATAGAATGTTGGGTGGTCAAAAATTGGGTATGAAAAAGTGCCACTAGATAGTGTAGATGGCAGAGAACTGGTCACTTTCATGGGGAGATAAGAGGACAAGTGCATTCATTATCAAGTTCCTAAGTTGGGATGATACTTGCTATTTTGGGTGAGACAAGCATATTATTCATCTACTAAACTTTTACATCACTCATAATAACAAACTAATTCTGTTATAGCAATAGCAATAACAGAATGCTAACAGCTAAGCTGTCAGTATAACTACTTCACTAACACAACAAACTAGCTGTATACTCTTAACAGAAAGTATGCTTCTCATTCACAAATGGTATTTGATATGGCCTGGTACCCACAAAATGTTGAAAGAAATGTTTCTTTATTGATAAACCCTATGATTTTGTTAAGATGTTCCACATTAGCTAGGAATAGAGACAGAATACTCCTTATAAGAGCTTGGGCACTCTTCTTCTTATGAGCTAGCTTTTACGACTGAGTTAGGTCTACTGTTGTCAAAAAACAGTTATGGCAGTGCCATGGTGGTTAATGGTGGTGGTTTTTGACTAAACTGGCACAACCATGGCAGAAAATGGCAGTGCCATGGCCAGCCATTATGCACTTGATGGCCATGTTGGCAATGGGGGTTTTAGAAGGAAAAAACATGTTGGGTCATCTACCTGACCCAGTCTAGAGGGACGACTTGCGAACCCAAACCCTAAAATCTTCCTTTCATACACATCTCTTCTTCCTCTCTTCGTCTTAGTTCTTTGTCTAAGTTCTTCATCCTCAGTCAACATCCCTGTTCTTCCTCAATGTTCAACAGTGGCGACTGTCTCTACTGCATCTCCAACAACTATTGTGACTTCTGCTACATCTCTAATGACTGCTACTTCCATCTTAGACGACTATTTTTTCCAGTAGCTACTTCTTTTATCCCTTTCCCTCTTTCTTTGTTCTCTGTTTTAAATTCTTCTTTATTTCTGTTTTTCCCTCTCCCACTTTCTCTACTCTCTATTTTAAGTCGTTCTCTCATCTCTGTTTTGAAATCATTTCTCTTTTTTTTCTTCAAATCATTTTTCTCTTTATTTCAACTTTCCTTAACATGGCTGAACAAGAGTTTTCATCAAATTTTTCAAGAGCTGTTAATTGTACTGATTCAGGATGGAAATATGCTCATTTGTTGACAGATGGTGATACAAATAACATCTTATGCAATTTTGGTGGAAAAGTTGTGAGTGTAAGGATCACTAGAGTCAAACAAGATCTAATTGGGAAGAAGGAAAATGTGAAATATAGCTCAAAGTGATGGGCCTTGAAAGTGTAGGCTTTGATGAAAAAGATGAGCAAGATAGCTTGACATGTAGTATTGCTATTGGGAATAAGGTTGATAAAAAAGGTCAATGGACTTCTTTTTTAGGAAGCCAAAAATTGTCATTGTAAAAAACAAGAAACTATAATTGAGGCAAGTAAATATAAGAGAAGTATGTGACAAGGAAGCAAAGACAAGGATCCATCAATACATAGCTCGATTTTGATATCAAACTGGTCTTTCTTTAACTTTGTTAAATTAAAAAGCTTTCAAGAAATGGTTACAACTATTTGTGCTTTTGGTCCAAATTTGCTAGTTCCGAGTTATCATGAGATTAGAGTTCCACTTTTAAAGAAGGATTTAGAATACGCTGATTTTCTCCTAAAAGATTATCAAGAGCAATGGAGCATCATGTCAAATACATGGATCGATCGTTAGTGTAGATGTTTGATTAATTTCTTTGTGAATTCTCCTATTAAGACTACGTTTGTGAGGTCCATTGACGGATCTAATTTTGTGAAGGCCAGTGTAAAGCTTTTTGAGTTGCTTGATGCTTTTGTGGAGGAGATTGGAGAGGATAAAGTTGTGCAACTTATAACAAATAAAGGAAACAATTATGTTTTGGCTGAAAAGATGTTGGAAGAAAAAAAAACCACATCTTTATTGAATTCCTTGTGCATCCCATTCCATCACTTTCCGTTAACAATGTTCTTTATGTACCTAGGTCTCCCTTTATTTTGTTATCTATCAATTGTCTAACTCATTCTCTTGATTACGTTGTATCTTTTACTGAAGATTGTTTTCCTATAAGACCAGAGTTCATGGCGGATGATTAGTGCTAGATTTGAGTCACAAGGACTCTATCATCTATATCCCTCTGCTTATGTTGGTTTGGTGGTGGACTCTCCTCTCTTGGTTAATGCTTAATTAGGTCATCCCAGTCTTAAAAAATTACAGCAAATGGTACCGAGTCTCTCTAAATTATCTACTTTGTCTCTCAAGTCCTATCAATTAGGCAAGCATATTCATAATTTCCTAGTCATATTAATTGTCGAGCTTCATCTCTTTTTAGTTTGGTTCATTCTTTTGTTTGGGGTCCAAGTCGTACTATGTCTGCCTTAGGATTCAGGTATTTTGTTACCTTTATTGATGACTATTCTCGTTGTACATGATTATAATTAATGAAAAATCCATCATTTATATTTTATACCCCTCATACCTTGCATAGTGATAATGCTCATGAATATTTGTCTCATACCTTTCAAAATTTTGTGACTTCTAATGGCATTTTTCATTAGACTTCTGTTTCTTATACCCCTCATCAAAATGAAATTGCAGAAAGAAAAATATGCTTTATTGAAAGTATTAACACTCTTCTTCATGGTAATATTCCTCATCGTTTATGGGATGATGCCATCCATACAACCTATTATCTTTTAATTGGATGTCTTCTTTTGTCTTTAACAATCAAGTATCGCATTCTATCTTGTTTCCTTATCAATCTTTACATCCTCTTCCTCCTTGTGTCTTTGGATCCACTTTGTTAGTCTAGGAATTGACAAAATCTCTACTTGTGCTCATAAATGTGTTTTTGTTTTTGTTATACTTGATCTCAAAAAGGTTATAATTGTTATTCTCTGACTCTTAATCATTATCTCGTCTCGGTTGATGTTACCAATTCTGTTTTGGTGGCTAAAGACTATACCCAAGTCTTCAATTTCGATTTTGGTGATACATTCTCTCTAGTGGCTATAAGGGCCTCTATTTGCCTATTCTTGTTCATGGCTACAACCTGGCCCCTTTACTAGCATGATATCAAGAATGCCTTTCTCCATAATGACCTCTTGAAAGAAGTATACATGAAGCAATTTCCTGGATTTGTTGCTCAGGAGGAGTCTTCTAGATTAGTTTGTTGTTTGCCAAAATCCTTATATGGATTTAAACATTTTACTAGGGCATGACTCAAAGTGAAGTTCATCGCTCAATTTTTTATTGTCATTCTGCCTCAAGATCCCTTTATTTAATTCTTTATGTCGACGACATTGTTATTACTGGTAACAATCACCATGATATTACATAGATAAAGCAACATTTATGTTACCATTTTCATACAAAAGATTTTGGCAGACTTCGATAACTTTTGGGAATAAAGTTGACACAATCTAACAACAACATTGTGATTTCTCAAATGAAGTACGCATTGGATATTTTAAAGGAAGCTAGATTGATGGGTGTTAGGCCCGTAGACTCCTATAAATCCTAATTCCAAACTTTTGCCAAGTTAAGGGGAGCCTCTTTCTGATTTGAAGTAGTATAAGAGAGACTTGTTGGAAAGATAAACTATCTCACTATCACTCGTCCAAATATCTCTTTTGCAGCCAGTTTGGTAAGTCAGTTTCTTAACTCCTCTTTTGAAGGACGTTGGGATGTGATGATTCACATTTTAAAATACATCAAAAGAATTCTAGAAAAAAGACTCTTGGATGAAGTAAGGTCACACTTGAATTTTGAGTTACGTTGATGTAGATTGGGCAGGTTCTGCTACCAATAGGAGATCTATTTATGGGTATTGTGTTCTTATTGGCGGTAATTTGATTTTATGGCAGAGTGATAAACAAAGTGTAGTTGGTCGTTCAAGTGCATAAGCAGAATAACAAGCCATGGCCTTAGCTATATGTGAACTTATTTTGTTGAAACAACTACTCAAAGAACTGAAATTTGGAGCGATTATGAAAATTACACTTATTTGCAATAATCAGGCAACCTTACATATTGCCTCAAATCCAATGTTCTATGAAAGAACAAAACATATTAAGATAGATTGTTACTTCATTTAGGAGAAAATTCTATTTGAAGACATCACTAATGGCTTTGTCAATTCAAATGATCAACTGACAAATGTTTTAACTAAATTATTGAGAGGTCCTCATCATAGTTATCAATAGTGGCGGAGCGGCCCTTTCCCGCGACGGAGAGCCTGTCGTGTCGCGTTTCAGAGTAGCAGCCGTCGCGCCGCGATTAGCGGCAGAAAACTCTGAAAATAGCGGATGGAGCGGCCGTTATCTCATCCTCCCATGTTTCCGTTTTTGCCCCTCATCTTTTACTGTTGGGGCCTTTTAAGGGGGGGCAATTTTGGAATTTCGACCTCCCTTATATTTCTGAATCATCTTCTTCAACCCTAGCCTCCGTCAGCTCCTCTCTTCTGTTCTCGGTTCTCTCTCCTCTGTTCTTTGTTTTCCGGTCATCCTCTGTTCTCTATGCTCTATTTTTCCGACGAGGCTTCCATTTTGATTTCCGGTCATCTTCTTCGTCTCCGGCGAGCTTCTAAGGTGACCCAAATTATTTTGAGTCATTTTCTTCATCTCTTGTCATCTTCTTCAAGGTCAGCACAACTTTCCAGTCATCTTCTCCAACTCCGGCAGACTTCAGTTCCGGCAAACTTTCCGGTACTGAACATTTGTTTTTCCTATATTTTTCTCTGGTTTTTTACTCTTCTCTGTTTTGATTCTTCTATTATTTTCTGTTTGAAATTTTGAAAGCTTAAAAAAGAAGTAATGGCTACTCCTCCCAATCAGTCACAAGGAATCGGTTCTGTTTCAATTTCATCCTGTGCATTAGTGAAGCCTTCAGGAAATAATTTGGATATAGGTTGGCAATGGAATAGTTTGAAAGACATAAATAATAAAAAGTCAGTTACTTGTGATTTTTGTGGAAAAACGATTGCAGGCGGTATTACCCGAGCAAAGAGGCACCAAATGGGAGTGAAGGGAGATGTTGATAAGTGTCCAAGGATTCCCAAAGAAATAAAAGAAACACTTATAGCAGTTCATGAGAAGAAGAGAATTGAAAAAGAGGTATATTTACTTCAGCATAATGAAGATGATGATGAGGAAGAAGAGGTGCAAGAAATTCAAAATATTCGTAGTGGAAAATGACCTTCAACCTCAAGTGTTGCATCAGCTTATGTTAGTGGTTGTAATGCCACCAAAAAAGAAAATAATGTTAAGGGCCCATTGGATTTATTGTGATTAAAGAGTCCAGAAACAAGCATCAAATTAGCAAAATCAAAAAGACAAACAAGTATAAATGATGCTTGTATCAAAGAGGTAAGAGCAAGAACAATTCAATACATAGAAAGATTTCTTTGTAGGAATGGAATTGCTTTCAATGTTGTGCGCTCAAAAAGTTTCAAATTAATGGTTGAAGCTATTGGAAACTATGGTCCACATCTAAAGCCTCTTAGTTATCATGAGTGTAGAGTTCCTCTTCTTAAAAAGGAGTTAGAGTATACAAAGGAAATGTTGAAAAGTCGTGAAGAAGAAAGAGAAAAATGTGGATGTTCAATTATGTCAGATGCGTGGACGGATAAAAAAAATAGAACATTGATCAATTTCTTAGTAAATTGTCCAATTGGTTCTATGTTTGTAAAGAGTATTGATGCATCTGCTTATATGAAAACTGGAGAAAAGTTGTTTGAGCTCTTGGATAGCTTTGTTTAAGAGATTGGAGAGAAAAATGTTGTACAATTAGTTACTGATAATGGAAGTAATTATGTATCAGCCGGTAAGAATTATTCTTAACTCTATATTAATATCAGTTTCTAATTATTTTATTAGTTTCTAATTTTAAACTATGCAATTTAATTTTAGGTAAGTTGTTGCAAGCTAAAAGACCACATTTGTTTTGGACTCCATGCGCTGCACACTGTATTGACTTGATATTAAAAGACATTGGAAAAATACCTAGAGTCAAGAGAACAATCTAAAGAGGAGTTACTCTTGTAGGTTTTATTTATAATCATTCATTGACTTGAACATTATGAGGAGGTTCACAAATAAAGCTGAATTGGTTAGATATGGAGTGACAAGGTTTGCCACAACATTCCTCACATTACAAAGGTTGCATAATAAAAAAAACAACCTTAGAAAAATGTTCACTTCCGATGAGTGGTTAAAGTCCAGAACAGCCAAAGAAGCTAAAGGAAAAAGGGCAACAGACACTGTGCTTATGCCTTCTTTTTGGAATGATGTGGTTTTCAGTCTTAAGGCTATGGGGCCACTTGTGCAAGTTTTGAGACTTGTTGATAATGAAAGAAAACCTGCAATGGGTTATATATATGAGGCAATTGATAGAGCTAAAGAAAGCATTCAAAATGCATTCAAAGGAAATGTAGACAAATATAAGGAGATTTTTGCTATAATTGATAGAAGATAGGAGTGTCAACTTCATTATCCATTATATGCTGCAGGTTATTATTTGAATCCTCAATTTTTTTATAGCAATAAACAAATTGAGAATGATCCTGAAGTTGTGGAGGGCTTGTATAAATGTATTGAGATGCTATGTACAAGTGAAGATGATGTAGACAATGTTACAATTCAATTATCAACATATAGAAGAGCTGAAGGTCTCTTCGGTTTAAGTGGAGCAAAAAGACAAAGGGCTACAATGGCTCCTGGTAAGAGATTTGTTTAATTTTTTTTATTGTAATGTAATTATGTAGATATAACACTAAAGGTTAATAAGTTGATGCATAACTTGCAGTTGAATGGTGGAAGAATTATGGAGTACGTACACCACATTTACAAAACACTGCTATTAGAGTGTTGAGTTTGACTTGTAGTTCATCTGGATGTGAACGAAATTGGAGTACTTTTGAGCACGTAAGTAAATATCAAGTAACTTCAATTTAAAGTTCTTATATTGAAAGTGAAAATCTAATATATATTTTTTTTATGGTAAAATAGATTCATTCTAAAAAGAGAAGCAGACTTGAGCATCAAAGGTTACAAGACTTGGTTTTTATTAAATATAACCAAGCTCTTAATGAACGTTTTGAGTGTTCTAACGTGGTGGATCCTATTATCTTAAAAGATGTTGATGATAGTAATAATTGGTTGCTAGAAGGAATAGCTGGAGATGATGAAGATGCTGTAGATGAATTAGTGTTTGATGATGATAACTTGACTTGGGGAGCTGTTGCTAATGCAATTGGGGCTAGTGAGCCTATAGCCTACACTAGGCGACAAGCTAGATCAAAATCCAAGACAACTACAATTGCTTCTTCATCTAAATCTAAGGGAAAAGGAAAAGAAATTGTACAAGAAGAAGAAGAAGAATGTGATAAGGAAGACTTTGAAGAAGAGGAGGAGGAGGAAAAAGTTCTTTACAAAAGTAGTGATGAAAGTGAAAATGAAAAAGACATGACAAATCTTGGAGATGAAGATGATGATAATTATTAAAATATTTGTATTTGAATTGAACACTTAGTATTTTTAAACATCTAAGCATTAGAGACTTAAATTTAGTTAGTTAAATTTATTTTTATATTTTGTTGTTACTTGTTATTGACATCTAAGCATATATATATATGTGTGTAATTTAATTTATGAGTATATTTATAATACCTAAAATAGCGGCCATCCCGCTATCCGCTATGCCGCTATAGCGTTTTTGAGGTCGGTCGCTCCGCGCCACTATCCGAGATTGACTACTATGGTCCTCATATTAATTATATGTGACAAGCTTGGTGCATATATATGATCCAGCTTGAGGGGGAGTGTTAAATATATGTAATTATAATAGTAAGACAAGTTTATCTTTGTAATTATGATAATTGGGTAACTAAATTATTCTATAAATATTATTGTTAATATAAATATATGCTCTGTTGTATAGTTGAAATATGCAAATTCACATGTTCTCGCACGCCTAAGACTTGACATCTCATGATTGAAGTTTACAGGATTGGACATGCAGGTGACCCAACAAGACTGAACATCTGTGGGCAGCCCAACATTTGAACTAGATAGGCTTTGATATTATATTAGAAAAATTAGGCCTAACTCACTCCAAAAAACTAGTTCATAGAAGGAGGACTATTCAAGCTCTTATAAAGAGTATTATGGCTCTATACCTAGCCAATATTGGACATCTTAACAAACTTAAACAATTGCTCAAAGAATTGAGATTTGGAGAGGTTACACATGTCACTTATCTACGATAATCAAGTAGTCTTGTATATTGCCTCAAATCCATTTTTTATAAGAAAACTAAATATATTGAGATAAATTGTCACTTAATTAGAAAAGAAATTTTACCTAAAGACATCCCCACCATCTTTGTGAATTCTAATGATCAATTGGTAGATGTCTATACCAAGTCATTAAGCGATCCTCAAATTAGTTATATATGACAAGCTTGGTGCATATGATTTATATGCTCCAATTTGAGAGGGAGTGTTAGAAATATGTAATTTTAGTAAGGCTATAAACAGTGAAGTTAATATCTTTGAAATTATAGTAATTAGGTATCTGCATATTTATAATATATGTAGATTCATCTTGTGTCTTATTGATTCTCTCTTTCAACCATTTTTAACTATGTTAGACCTTGTTGGACTAACTATTTCTATGGTGATATGACAGGTTATTCGTCTCTGGTCATTAGACAGCTACAGATGCATAGAAGAACACTCGATACCACATCTGTTCCCTTTTGTTGACTTTGATTTTGATGAGAGCAAGGTAAAGTAATTGATGGAATGTTTTATGGATTCAATTTTGCACAGTAAACATTTTAGAAATTTACCTCCATTAGTAAATCATATGCTGCCACCTTTATAAAATATAGTTAAGCTTTTATTGGGAGTGAAAACCCTTACTATCAATTTTAAACATTTGCTTTATTAGTTATCATATGTAAGATCTAAATGATATACTTCTATTATCTTGCATTTAAACTGGAAGTCAATTTAGTCATGGTTCTAGGTAACTACAGTAGGTCATTGTATCTATTGGATGTTGATATGTGAATAGAAGTTATAAGTAGAGTAAATTGCACGTTCCTCCCTCAAGAGATGCTTAAGTTACAGTGCTCTCTCCTCTTATTTTAAGAATTATACTCCCCTATCTTGAGACATGAATTTATGCTGTGTACTTACACTTTAGTCTATTCATGTAAACGAGCATAGTAGGAATATTTTTTTCTATCACTCTGAATTTTTATATCATGAACAAGATGACAATCAGTTTTGAACTACTATTATCAGCTTTGCAATTTTAGAATACAGAATAACAATTTTGGGTGAAGTATGGGTGTTTAAAACTCCATTTCATCTTTTAAAGTCCTAAAATTAGTAATGTTATGTCTCTTTTTATTACTTGTCTTTACTGAAGTCAGGAATCAATCGATATTTATTGTCTGCCTGCAGTGTGGAAATAATATATAATTCATTTCAAATAAAATGATTCCCATGCAGTCTATCTGCAATGGATTCTGTTGTGAAAACTTTTAATACATCATGTTTGATCTACTGTCAAATTCGTTTGGAAAAAAGGTGCAAAAGTCTTTAATTTAGGGTTTCTATCATATTCCCTGAAACTAGAATGAAAGGGCTAGGGTTAGAGTGAGTCCCAACAAAAAGGACATTTTAAAAATAAAATAATTTATTGACACAAAAATGAGTACTATCTCCAATGCTGTTATTCTGTAATTATGTTTGAAATTTTCAATGGAATTTCACTGTGCTGCAAATCACCTGTAGTTGACGGTTAACTTGCTATATCTTTTCATTTATACTGTCAATTTGCCAAAAATATGTTTGTTAATTCAAGTTTCTTAAATTTGCTGGCTTGCTCAAGTTTTGCATGTTTATAGTTTCTGAAATCTCTCTAAATACTTATTTGTAGATTGTTGGTCTAATTGGTAGTCATTTATGCATATGGAGGCGGAATGGGAAAAGAAGCATGTTCCCTTCACTTGAAGGCAAATTTGTAAAAGGTTCATGCATGCGGTAAACAAAATCAATGCTCTGTTTTTCTTGTTTCTTGTTTCATTAGGGAGTTAGAGTCTTGCTTGCTTTGTGTGGAGTGATGGCTTGTAGTAAGTTGGGAATCAACCTATATGATATAAATGAGAGTTTACTATTTGGGAAGTGAAGCATATAGATGAGCTACACTCCACAATTTGTCACATGCATAAAAAGAAATTGTTTAAGAATAATGTGTGAATTGCACTCTCTTTCGCTGCTATTGTTTTACTTTTTACCCACGTGTTTTGTTAATTTCCTTCTTAATTGCGAAGATCAAAATTGTTATTACTTTACATAAACTTTTATATAAACTTTTCCTTATTACTTTACATAAACTTTTAGATTTTTGTGAATACTTAATTTTATATTTATACAAATTTCCTTGTTACTTTACATAAACTTTCAAAATTTTTATAAATATTTATATTTATAAAATTGTCTTTATTACCTTATATAAACTTCAAATTTCTTATAAATACTTATCTTTACATTTATAAAATTCATAATATTTAATCTATTATTTGCAGTACTCTTAGTCAAAATTCTCAGCAATTATCTTTAATTTCATGTAGAAAACATGTTTTCTTTGTTAGAAATTGCAAAGTCTATCACTTCTATTCATTTTTTTCCTCAAAATTCATATTATTCTAAAATACTCTCTCATAGTCATTTCTTTAGTTAATTATAACATTTATTTTTAACATTAGGTTGCCTTTTACTCTTCTCTCTATCTATCACAATATCATATTATAAAAATGTGCACTTTTTGACATTTATATCTTTTTAATACAATACTATACATGTAAATTACATTTTTGTTGAAATATACATCATAATTGATCTATTCTTTATCAGTGTATTATATTTATTAGTTTTATAATTATGCAAAATTCTCAATTTTTTATGTCTTCGATCTTTATGATCTTTATAATATATTTTGATGTTTCATATTTATTTTAAAATAAAATACATGTGCATTGCACAAGATACTAAACTAGTTTATATCAATTGTAAGCTTTGCACAGATTTTTCGTGAAGATCATGCCTTCTGTAATCAATGCCCATGTTCCACCTTTCTGAATGAGACTAACCATCTGTATAACAATATTAACATCCAAATGCTCTTGTGAAGTTGACTTTGCAGGGCTTGAGGTTACAACTTTGTGCTATTCATATTTATAGTAAGATAGGTTGAGGGGATAGTTCAGTGAGATAGCAGTAAATATTAAATAGATGCTTGGTAGAAGATAAACAAGCTATTGACATATCACATATGATTCCTGAAAGTTTTTCTCTTCTTGTTCTGTGCTTTCAGTTATTTTGATCCAGAAGCTGTGGTTGGATGTGATGATGGGGCTGTTCGCATTTTTGACATGTACAGTAGGACATGTTCTCAAATAATAAGGTATTTTGTAGTTTTTCCTATTATGATTGCTGATCATAAATGGTTAGCAACTTATGATCAAGGTTATTGTAAAAAGAACCTGAATTTTAATTGCATATTGCTCATTAAAAATGGAGCCATTCATATTTTCTGGTAGCTTGAGAGAAATAATCTCATAATTCATTCATATACAAAATCGATAATCTCATTCTTATAGATTGATTCATATATACTGCTTGAGGAATAACTTAAAAATGTCAACTAGCAATCGTGATGTGTACAACTTGCTATCTGCAGGATGCATTATGCACCAATAACATGTTTATGTTTGGGTGAAGATCAAGTGATACTGAGTGGCTCCACTTTAGGGAGTATCACAATATCAGATCCTTCCTCTGTTCAACAGGTAGCAACACTTAGATCAAGTGACACCAGAGGTAATAGTTTATCCCTTTTAATTGGCATCTTGGTTGATGTTAAGGGAAGAGAAGAGACATTGGACGAATTCCATGTGTCTTAAACTACACAAAGGACCTGAAATTTGATACACTAAAAAAGATAATAATATACACACAGTTACCCTAATTACCGTAACTTCATTATTTGGTTAGCCTTTACAATGAACCTTGACGCTATTTATATGTTGTCCAACAATCCCCCCTCAAGGTAGAGCATATAGGTCAAATGCATCTAGCTTACTACATATTTAATTTATCTGAGAACCTCTCAAAGACTGAAGGAAAACATCTACTAACTGATCATTAGTTTTAACAAAATGAATGTTGATGTCTCTATGTAAGATCTTCTTTCTAATGCAATTTATCTAAATGTGTTTGGTCCTCTCATGAAATACTAGATTCAAGGAGATATGCAAAGCAGCTTGATTATCACACATGAATGACATTTACAAAATCTCCCCTTATCTGAGTTCTTTTTGCAACTATTTGAGCCAAATGATTTCACTCATAATTGATTACATGGACTTTTTCTTTTCTTTTTATTTTTTTCTGTTTTAGCACCTAATCTTGCACAACACCTTGCCTTATTTTTCTAGGATATTAGTTTATCCCTAATGAATACACAATACCCAGAGGTGGAATAGGGGAACTTGCCCAACCAGCATTTGACCACCAATAATCTGAATGTGGCCATGATCCGCATAAATAAAGACCAATTCCTTTAGCTCCTTCAACGTTTTTTTAGGATACAAATGATTGGATCCCAATGTCCATTATAAAGTGAATTTCAGAACTAACTTACCATACTAACTGCGAGATGTATAAACGAGTGATTATGACAAAGTTGATAGTTTAGTTTCCTAATTAATCTATGGTACCTTCCTTGATTTGGATGTGGCTCCCCATAATTGGTTGGTAAAGCTTAGCATTTGGTTGAATTGGAATGTCAACAAGCGTTGCAATCAATGGACCAGATTCCTCAAAAATATCCATGGCATACTTTTTCTGAAAATCACAAATATTATCCTTTGATTATGCCACCTCTATGTCAAAGAAGTATTTGAGTTTTTCTATATCTTTTATCTAAAAGTGATGACAGTGATTTTATTTAACCTAATATGCCATGATGATCACTGTTTATGATGACCGTGTCATCTACATACACAGTCAAGTAAATACACTCTTGAGTGTTGATAGAACCGAGTGGTCAGTTGTACACCTTGTCATACAAGACTACCACAGTTATAATTCCATCTAACGAGACCATAGGCAATTGTTTAGGGACATATTCTTTCAATTTTATGCTCCGAAAATCTCTTAAGTTCCATTCTCTTCATTCCAACCTCTGGATTTTTCAAGTTTTATCTTCAAAATCCACTCTTTTACATAAAAAAAACTTATAAAACAAGTAACTTGAACAAAAGTAAAACATTTAATGAAATTAAATCTAAATGCAAGATTATACATGATTAAAAAGAAATACATACTTGAAAATACTGAAATTCTATTCTTATTTCAATACATTTCAATTTACATGCATATATAAGAGTCTAATCCTAATATTTACACAGGAGAATATCCTAGAATATCTTCTAATAATCTTATAAATAATAACAAATAATTACAGAGATATTGACAATAAATGTTTACAATAAATTATAATCATTATGATATATTATCAACACTCCTCCTCAATTTGGTGAATGAATATCTATTATTCCCATATTGTGAGAAAGATCTTGGAACTACTCAGTTGTCAATCCCTTAGTGAACATGTCTACTAATTAATCTCGAGAAGGAACAAAAGTAGTAACCATGAGACCACTCTCTAGTTTCTGTTTAATGAAATGCCAATCAATCTCTATGTTTTGTCATATCATGTTGGACAAGCTTATGAGCTACGTTGATGGTGTACTTATTATTACACAAAACTTTCATTAGACTAGTGAATTTTAATTTGAGGTTGCCAAGAATAATTTTTATCCCGAAAAGTTCACACCCTTCTTGGGCCATGGGGAATTCAGCTTCAATACTTGATTTAGCTACAACATTTTGTTTAACCCAGAAACATACGATATCCTAAAGTGGATCTTCTATCTACATTGGAACATGCATAGTTAGCATTTATATATATTTCAAAGGAAAGAGACTCCCTTTTCAAAAAGTATGCCTTGTCCAGGACTTTCTTTCAAATGCTGGAGGATCTTGTTCATTGTTTGTAAATGTCTTTTACATGGATCATGCATGAATTGACTGACGATGCTAACAAAATATGCAATGTTAGGTCTAGTATATAGATTAGTTTTTCCACTAGCCTTTGGTATTCAACTTTGTCTACAATAGAGCGCTCCTCCTCTCCTTTTATTCGGTTGTTCTGTTCTACAGGTACTCCAGTAGTTTTGCAGCCTAGCTTTCCTGTCCCCCTGAAAAGATCTAGAACATATTTTTTGTGAGATAAAAATTTCTTATTTTGAGTACGGAAGTACTTCAGTTTTTCTAGATCCTTCATCTCAAACTGAGCAGCTAATTTCTCCTTCAAGCTTTTGTTTTTAAATTTCATCATCACTTGCAATGATCATGTCATTCGCATAAACTAGCAAAAGTGTTAGTTTACCATCTTGTGAGTGTTTTATGAAAAGAGTATGATTACCCTATCTTTGCCTATATCCTAAGGACACCACAGCCTGAGTAAACCTCCCCAACTGCTTAAGTTCATATAAAGCTTCCTTCAATTTGCATGCATTGCTTTCACCATTAATGGTGTCGTTCCCTGACCCTGAGGGAATATTCACATACACTTCCTCCTTTCCAACCAAAGGAGTGCTAATGAAAGGATAGTTTTAACGGTATTCATTTTTGCCACCAGTGCAAATGTCTCTTCATAGTCAATTTCATTGGTTTGACTGCATCCCTTTGCAACTATTCTGACTTTGTATCAATCAAAGGTATCATCTGATTGATATTTAATTGTATATATCCACTTGCGACCCATTGTTTTCTTATCCTTAAGTCATTTTATTCCAATGCCCTCATCTCTTCATTCATGACTTGAACTTAGTTCTCACCCTTTAAGGCTTCTTATACTGTCTTAGGGATATTTGAAAAATCAATAGCAGAGATGAAACTACAATGCTATATAGATAAATGTTTAGTGGACAGAAATAGAGAAATAGGATAATTGATACAAAACATTTTTCTTTTCATAAAGCAAAGGAAGGTCATTTAGGTTAGGTTCACAATTGTTTAAATAAATATCTAATGATTCAGGATCAGTGGTATTAGAAGATAGAACTTCCTCTAGTTCAAGAGACTAAATTTGTTGTTGGACCTGGTTGGGTTTTCATAAACCTATGCATAACATGCACTCATCATAAATGCTGTAAATATTCTGTTTTTAGAAGACATTAACTGATATTATTCTATATTTACAGTGGTGAATCATATCAAATATTAGGATTGATTTTATTAGTTAATGAGACATTTTCTCCAAAATTAGGATTGGTATATATTAGTGATTGTAATCAGTTTTTTTAACAAGAAAGATAATATTCAGAATTTCCTTTCTTCCAAGTCTCTTATTTTCTTTGGTGGACACACTCTGTTTGATAAAATATTTTGTAGATATTTGTATGTCTAGGATATTAACTTTGTATGAGATGCAGTACTATGATTGGTTTTAACTTTTAACCAACATTTTGAAAGCACTATATATCTCTGGTGCAGCAAGTGAATCTTAGTGTTTATCTCTCAGGCATAAGGACCTTGTGTTTCAATCCCTCCTCTCAGCTACTGTTTGCTGGATCTGCTGTTGGATATACATATTGTTGGGACCTAAGGTATGTCAGCAATAGGATAATAAAGGTGGTTCCTTGAGCGAATCAATGCTCTTAAGGTGGCACATGGTTCTACATAGGCAATTGCTACAACAAAAGTATATTGATTATTTCCACAAATTTGATTGAGAGTAGCTTTAATCTTCTATGTTAGGGGGATACCAAATAGACAACTAAGAAATGACTTGTTACAACAAAATTATCTGTAGCTGATATAATGTTTATAGACTCAGTAAGACTGCTGTAATTAAAAGTATTTTAAATGTTCCTCTGGCCAGAGCCTAGTTGTATCCTTCCCAGAAATTTAGGAATTTGTCATAATAGTATTACATCACATTCTTGTTTTGTCATAATAGTATTACATCACATTCTTGTTTTAATATATTGTGATGGGTAATAAGGTGCCGCATGAACCTTTATGTTTCTCAGACAACATGGCAAGGATTAAAAAACCCTGTTACCTTAGTTAGCTAACCAAAATATCAACTGCAAGTATAAACCAATAGTGATCCATTGTTATATTTAACACTACAATATCATCTCTTTGATTAATCAATTGCTTAACTTTTTTTGTTTGCTCCATGTAGAACAAGGAAACTGTTGTGGGGCAACCGAGTGAGTCCTAATGTTGTATACTCCTTACAGCACTTGCAGAGTGACACGTCAACATTAGCTGTTGGTGGAATCGATGGCATCATAAGAATACTTAATCAGAATGATGGCAATGTTGTTTCAAGTTGTTGTCTGGAGGATAAATTGTTATCAACATATCAAAGTCCTACGTTCATTCAGAGAAGGAAAGGAAGGAGGTTGCCTGAAGATGCCATAAATATAGACATTATTCCTACGACTGCTCGACCTTCTATTACATGCCTCGCCGTTGGAATGAAGAAAATTGTTACCACACACAATACCAACGACATCAGATTATGGAAATTCAAATGCAGTACTCCTACCTTGTAAATTTGGGAATTTAATATTCTGTATACCCTTTGTTTGGGATAAATTATCTTGTAGGAGTGCCATGTAGTGAGGAAGAGAAATTTACCTATTTTAAAAAAAAGAAACCTATACATACGTAAATATTATCTTGTTCCGCTATAATATTGGTCTTGTTCAAGGAGGCACTTGGCAATAATTTGAGGAGTCCCAGGTGCAATCCAAAATCATTTGTAAGTGTATTTGGCTATGTATCATGTTTGGTTGAGCAACAAAGGATTCGAACTCTCTTATGTTATTTCATAACAAGAGATTGTTGAGCTGAAGAAAGACAGGAGAAGGAAAACATAAATAATGTATTTTATAATTCAATCGCTGTTATTTTTCTCTTTTCTTTTTAAGGTCTTATTCTATGCAAGAGCTGGTAGTCAGCAGGGTAGGAAAGCATGATATTGAGTAAATTTCTGAACTGCTTAAAATATGAGTTGAATATTTTAGAGCCCATTTGCAGTGGATTTTAGTTTTAAAATTTTTTTAAATTAAGATCAGTTTTCGATTGTGATTTTGATTTTAATTTTTTGATATAGTTTCACGTTTTTATCAAATTTTAAACCTAAAGCATTCAAATCATTCATTATATATATTTTGGTTTATTTATTACCACAGTGGTAGTGGTAAATAATAACCGTGATTACAACAATGGTGATGATAATGAAAATAGTAGTAGTAATTTGTCAGAGTAATTGAGAAAAAAAAAGCTAAAAAAGATAAGTATGATAATAGCAACAATAACTTTGATGTAATCAATGGGAAGGTAATTTTGGTGACAACAATGAGGAGGAAGGGTAGGAAGGGTGACAGTGAAGGAATTCATATCCTTTCAATTAAATGTTTAGTTCTTTTTTAACATTAGCAAATTAGCAAATTTTGAAATAATTGCTTAAGAGAGTTCAATTTTTGCTCAAGTTATAAATAACTTAAGTGAATATATATCATGCTTTAGCGAGAACACCTTTGCATAATTGATATTTGTTTAAGTAATTTTCATCTCGCTTAAGTGAATATATCACTTCAATGAATATTAATAACTTGAAGCGAAAATGGAATAAAGAGCATACATTAGAGACATTACTTTTGACTTAAGCAAGAATTTGTTTGCTCAAGTGATTTCTAATTATCTTAAGCAAATATTGGACAAAGAGTAGGCCCTTTTAGGTTGAGTAACTTGCTTAAATGAGATTGAATTTATTTAAGCTAAGTATTTTTTGCTTAAGTAAGTATTAAATGGCTTAAGCAAATCATCCATAGAGAGCAGAGTTTTTAAGTCTAACTATTTAGCTTAAGTGAATCACACCCACCTTAAGTGAATCAGGTTTACACATACTAATACAAATGATCAAAGCTTACATAAATATTGTATTTAACTTACTTTAACAAGAGTTTACTTTATTTTTAGCCTCTACATTTGAAAAAGAATTGAACATCTCCTTTAATTTGAATAGGTCATTATTATAGTCAACCAAGAGAGATCATGGAGAGTACCATTTAATCATGTCTCAAAACTCTATATGTTACGCTTGTAAAAAATTTAAAACATTTGACATATTTTGTTCTTATGCATTGAAGGTTTCTGAAGCAAATAATGTCAAGGTTGTTCCTAAAAAATACATTCTTACGCAATAGATAAGAGAAAGTTGTTCTAGTATTATACACTGTCAAGGGAATAATAATTGAAGGGGGTCTTAAACTTATTATCACACAATGATATTGATGACTACCTTCTAAAATGATTAGACTTGCATTTGAGGTATTTATTTCTGCAAAATATTTTCAGCTAATAAATGAAGTCTAAATGTTGTTCGTTGCTAGATCACACATTCAATTTACAAGTACAAAAACACTGAGAGTCACAACAATGATGTCTCTACATTAGTGATTAATGATGGTACACAAGCTAAGAATTTCAAACAACAACCAAGCATAAAAAGGAATAGGTATAGACAATTCAAACATTGGGTTGAGCTATAGGAAAAAAGGGGAAAAGAATGATTAGAGGTCAATCACAAAGCCAAGTTTGTTGAATACATATATCTATGCATATACCAATAAATAAGTTAATTTATACATTCTTATTATAACTATGTGTTTGTCAATAATTTAGGAATATGAACTCATACTTTATAAATTGTGTGAGGTATATTGTTCGACACCTTTGTGTTATTATTATTCCATGATACTTTCAATAATCATTTTAGTTTTACTATATATTATTGATTGTAAGATCATTTAACTTAAAAACACTTCAATTATATTTACTTATTTCTTAATATAATTTTTGCTATTTTATATGTTTTTTACGAATCCTTTGATGATACAACTCATTCAATCCTTGATCAACTTTGATTTTATTTTGAACCTTGTTTAGTTTATTCATGATTGGTGTATTTCTCTAATCATGTAAATGTATATTTTAACATTATATAAATGTATTGGTCTTTCTGTGATAAAAATGTATGTTCTTTAAGCTTGTATTTCAATTATAAATTTGAGCAACATTTACAATATATTTTGCATAATTCACTTAAGTCATTACAAAATTGTTTAAGCTAAATACCTTGTTCAATGTCAAGAATTCGCTTAAGTCATTTAATACTCACTTAAGTGAAACACACTTAGCTTAAGCAAATTCAATCTCATTTAAGCGAGTTACTCAATTTGAAAGGATTTGATCTATGTCCAATATTCACTTAAGAAAATTATAAATTACTTAAGTGATAAGTGTTTCGCTTAGGTGAATAAATTCTCGCTTAAGGCAAAAGTAATGTCCTAAAGGATAATATTGCTATTGACATTGATAACAAAGATAATATTTTAGGTAGTCATGAGATAACAATGGAGGTAGTGATTATCAATAATATTTATAGTGATAATAATAATTGTGACAATAACAACAACAATCCACAATGACAAGGTTTATAATAGTGATGATGATAAAAATAGATATTGGTAGTTCTTTGTAATAAAAGTAGTAAAATGATGATAGGTGAATAGTTATGGGGTTCCATGTAACACCCACTTTTTCATTTTTGATTAGTTGGTGAATTGATGATATTATGTAGGGTTAGAATGTGTTTAGGAATGATTTATGAATGTTTTGCTAGAAGTCTGGTGCAAGGGATCTCGCTCACTCAACCCAACTGTTACCTTGCTCAGGTGAACTGAGATTTCGCTCAGGCGAGATGAGTCGCTCAGACAAAAACTTTCAGGAAAAATATTCAACTCTCTATACGTCATCTTACTTAAGCAAAATTGGACTCGCTCAAGCGAGAATATCAGAAAATAGTTAGAGAGTACTGTCTGCATATCTCGTCCGGGCAAGATGGAGCTCGCCCAAGTGAGAATAGTCTCGCTCAAACAATAATCCACTAGCTCAAGAAAGAGCGTGCGAGGTTCAAGGGGTATTTAAGGGATTTCAGACGTGAGACTTGCATTACAATCCAAGAAACATTTCCTAACTTTTTTTCTCTGAACTCTCTCCTCTCTCCTCCCTCCTCTAGAGAGAAAATCCTCAGAAATTCCAAAGTTACTCTAAATCTGAGCTTGAACCTCGACTCTACAAAATTGTTGGTGAGTATCTCAAAGCTTAGTTCTTTATTTTTTCACCTCTATTTTTTTTGTTTTCTCTCTTCTGAAAAAGTACTCTCTGTAATGTGTAGAAATATCTTAGCTTGTTTGATCCCCTTTTTCACTAGTTATTTTCATTAAACTTATTCGCTGAGGTAAGGAGAGCTCTATCTCATTGCTGAAAACATAATATGTTTCTACTCATGAAAATGTTGTAGTGTAATATATGATTGTGAATAGATGATAGATTAAAATATGTTTCTCTGTGTTGTTAAGGTATGAATGATATCTATATTGAGTGTATATATGTATGTATGTTATGAACTAAGACCAGAGGTGACTAACTTCCAACAATGACTGATTAATGCATGATATAGTTAATGGAATTGAATAAAATAGAATGAGAAAAAGATGAATAATATAGTAAAGTGGTAATATCAACATGAATTATGATGAGAAATATGAGAAGAGAAGTGGAATGAGAAAACAAAAAAAATATAAAGAAAAAGGGAAATAATAAAGATAAGTGTGAATAGTTTAGATATACATTAGTTTAAGAGTTTGGAGGGGGAGAAAAGGGAAGGATTTGAAGGAAGAAGGAAGGGAAGGGAAGGAGAGAGAATGAGGTTAAACCCCTCTAGAGATAAAAACAGGTCATGCCGCCTGACAGGAGTTTGTGGCCTGACTTGGTTTAGACCTGATCTTTTTAATAAATAAACAAGACTTAGATTTTTTTAAAAGTCTGTTTAAGTAAACACGCCAGACCTGAGCTATTTATAAAATCTGTTAAGCCTGACAGACTATATATATATATATATATATATATATATATATAATTTAAAAATAGAACTGTTAAAATATATTTAAATAATAAAGTTATTTAATAATATATTTTTTATATTCTTAATTCTGTTCATATTAAATTAATATATTATGTTATAATTCTTTTTATTTATAATTATAATAAACATAAATTATATTTTATTAAAAATATTTATACAAGATTACACTTTTTCAATAATAAATTTATTAAATAATAAATTATCATATTTGCTATATTTAAACAAGTTAAAGAATAGTTAAGTCTTTGAATAGGAATAAGACGCAATCAAAATTAAACAAAATAAAATTTAAAAATAAAATAATAAATTATATTAATATATTTTTTATACTCTTAATTTAATTATTTAATTATTACATTAATATATTATATTTAATTCTTTTTCTTTATAATAAATAGAAATTATTTAAATATGAATTATATTTTATTCAAAACTAAAATTTTATAAAAAAAATTGATAGAAAAATAAAAAAAAATTAATATACAATATATATATATATATATATATATATATATATATAATAGGACTATATAGTAAATAATATAATTTTAAATAAATTATGTATAATAATATATACTTTTTATAATTTACTACACATTTTACCTTTATTGGTATAAATTTTTTGATTAAAATACTTATAAAAAAAATTTAGATACCAGGTCCATAGCACACAGCTACATACCTAAATATAAATATGTCAAATTTTAAATAATTCTTAAATATTATATTTGAAACTAAAAATATTTATACACGATTACACGTGTTTAAAAAATAAATTTATTTAATTATAAATTATTATATTTGTTACATTTAAACATGCTAAAGAACCTTTAAGTCTTTGAATAGAAATATGACACAATCAAAACTAAACGAATTAAAATTTAAAAATAAATATTAATATTCTATTAATAATTTTTTTATATTTTTAATTTTATTATTGTTAATATTTAATTATTATATTAATATATTATATTATAATTAGTTTTATTTATAATAAATAAAAATTGCTTAAATATGAATTATGTTTTATTCGAAAGTAAAAAATTATAAAAAATAATAAGAAAATAAAATAAAAAATTTATTATAATATATATTAATATATATATATATAATCATACTATCTAACAAATAATATAAATAATATAATTATAAATAAATTATATAATAATATATATTTTTTTAACTTACACGTGTTTTAATTAAATTATTGATTAATTTATATGTAATATATAAATATGTATTTTAATTTATTGTATCAGTAATATTTTCTATATTATATTAATGTTATAGTGTAGTTAATTTTATATTTATTTGTTAATTTAAAATAACAAATTAGTGAAACAAATAAAATTAAATATTTTATAATTATTTTTTTAATTTAATAGTTATTATTATTGTCATTATATATATATATATATATTGCATTAAGTTTAAATTTATTTATATTTTAAAACATAAAAATTAAATTTAAAACTAGTTAATATTAATAATATAGAATAAAAGGTAAAAATATAAAAATTTATTTTTCATAAATATTTTTACGATAACACATTAAAATAACTAAATACAATTTTTAATAAAAGTTAAATATAAATATTAATAAAATCGAAAGGGTTAATAAACTTTTTGTTTCTTAAAATGTATTATATTTTGACTTTTGTTTTTATAAAAATATTTTTTAGTTTTATATTTTAAAATATTATTAATTTTTTAGTCTTTAATTATTATTAAATAACATAATTAATTTCAATATTATTGTGTATTAAATTTTGAGTCAAATGTTATGTTTTTAGCAAATTTATTCAAGTGAAATAGAATAAAACAAATATTTTTGAAAATACAGAAACTAAAACGAAAAAATAAAAATAAAAATATGCTGTATTTAGTAGATAAAAAATATATTTAAGTCATCAGAACACGAGGACTAAGAGCAAACAAAGCATTTACCATTTCCCGTTTCCCATTTCCGTGTTGGAGCCCTAAACCTTACTTACAGACAGCGACAACGATGGTGTGCATAAGGAAGGCTACGGTGAACGACCTGCTTGCGATGCAAGCGTGCAATCTCTTTTGCCTTCCTGAGAACTACCAGATGAAGTACTATCTCTACCACATCCTCTCTTGGCCCCAACTTCTCTACGTCGCCGAAGACTACAACGGTCGCATCGTCGGTTACGTTCTCGCCAAAATGGAAGAAGAGACCAACGAATGCCACGGCCACATCACCTCCCTCGCCGTCCTCCGCACCCACCGCAAACTCGGCCTCGCCACCAAACTCATGACCGCTGCCCAAAACGCCATGGAACAGGTCCGTTACAAATTCGTTTCAAGTCTGTTAGGAGTTTGTTATAAATTAGTTACAATTTAGTTACGTGCAGGTGTTCGGCGCCGAGTATGTGTCGCTTCACGTGAGGAAGAGCAACCGTGCGGCGTTTAATTTGTATACGGAGACCTTGGGATACAAGATTCATGATGTGGAGGCCAAGTATTATGCGGATGGAGAGGATGCTTATGACATGAGGAAGCAGCTCAAGGGCAAGCAGATGCATCAGCATCATCATCACCACCATCACCATCATCATCACCATCATGAGCATGGTGGTGGGTGCTGTTCTGGGGAGGCTAAGGTGGAAAAGGCGGAGACCAAGGGGAATGCAAAAGCCTCCTGATTGTGAGAGCAAACTTGTTTTTGTTGTGGAAAAACTGTGACTTTAAGGCGTGGCTGAATTGTCATGTGTGAACTTGTTATAGATTTATTGGGTTATGAATATTGATGCTGGTTGTGCTGCTTCATGATGCTTGAATGAATAAGATTGCATTTTAGTGTTTTTTGCTGTTTTTTCATGGGGAATTATTTTGACTTGTTCTGATGATTGTGGTGAAGTTTTATTTACCCTTTCTATTGCTTAGGTTGTTGAGGGGCATTCAATGAGCTATTCGAGTTTTAAATTATGTTAGTTACTAGTGGGGACTGATGTCGATGATGGCAGAGTTGTTAATTGCACCATTTTTTGGCACTATAATGTCATGATGCGTGGAGCGGCCTCCAGCTTCTACTGGAGATCCATTTGTGTTGTGCTAGTCATAGCTGAGATATTGGCTGTTTGCAGCTCTCATTTTGTGGCTGTTGCGGCCACTACTGTCAACAGTTTGGCCATCAGAAGCAATTTCTTGGCCAGCCCGCTGTCTTCTGTCTGATCCCAGCCCTTTTCCAGCTGTCCCACCCTCTGTTTGCATCTCCATCATTTGACAGGAATTCTGCAATTGTGATAAGTGGGTGTTGTGAACCACTTCTATGGTTCTATATCCTTCAAAGAAATGAAAAACGCACTGTTTCCTCCTCTTGCTAATTCATTTCACTGGATCACTGTCCAAGTGCCTATATTTATTCATTTACTTTTCCTTTACTTTTAATATGTTAGACTATTGTTATCTTTTACTTGATAGACTTATTATTTGCCATTTTTCTGTGTGTGAGCAAATTTTCAGCTGCAACCATTCTCACTTTGTTGCTTCTCTTTACCCTGTTTGATTAAACTGCAATTCTTTATGATTTTTGATATATATGATGAATGTTCCTTAAGTTGAGTGTTAAGTATACATTAAAAATTAGCATTGTAGTGCTATCTTCAGTATGACAGAATGTTATCGCCTTGTTTGATCCATGTAGCCAGTTCCACTTAGTGGGAAAAGACTTGGTTGTTAGTGGTGATTTACCTCTCTATCTTCAGTATAGTTGCCTCTTCATGATCTGCTATGCCACTGTAGCATGTTTTGAATTGGCTGGTTCATGCCGCCAGTTGTAATTAATTTGTAGGGATGATAGAAATTGAGGATGAATATTGACATCATGTTACCGATTGAGAACTGTTCTTGCCTAGTTTTGGATGAACTAAAATGTGGGAATGATGATATTTTATTGCTGATGCAAACCAGATAAAAGAGCTGGGTGATTGTGGAGTATTTTAGGGGTTGTTTTGGAAAGGAAGTTTTGAAGGGGAGGAAAGGGGGATGGTAAATTTTCTATTTTAAATAAATAAATTTAAAATTAATTTTTTTTTAAAATAAAGGATATAAAATGATATATTAACCTAAACTTAAACTATTCATTATGTATTTATCATCATAAATGATATATAATTTTTTTAACTTAAAATTTAAAAATATGCCCTCCCTTCTCCTCCAACCCCTTCTCTCAAACAATACCTCTCTGCATCATCCTATACTCATTATTTCTGATTGTTACTAACACCTACAAAGAATGGGAATATCATTGTTTTTCATGAAAACATGAATGCAACTCTGATTACTGGTTCTTATCTGGATGAATTCTTCAGCCCTGGATGTTATGTCTATTTTACGTGGATTGCTGCAATTTTAAAGTTATGTACAGTGCGGCAAAAATTGAGAGTTGCGAAATCTGAAGAGTTAAACCAAAGTAGGCAAAAGAAGAACAGTGAAGACATCCGGTTTCTTCGAAACAATTTTTTTTTTCAGTTTTCTTATCTGTCCATACATTTTTCTTTTATATAATTTATAATATGAACATTGGCAGCTAATCAGCTCTACAACTTTATGGAACATTGCTTGACCCGTTGCTGGCACACTTACTCCAAATTCATGTCTTCTCAGATCAATTGGATACTTAGAACTCAATATGGATTTTTTCTTTCCTCTACTTTGATGCGGCAAACTTGTTCTTATGCATGTTCTGCTCTATTTATGAAGGTAATTTTGCTGAGGCGAACATCTACTCAGAATCATTGGATGGTTGCTTACTCGACGTATACTCAAAAATGGCTGTAATTTAAAGTGAGCTAGCTTTATTATATTAAGAGAGAAGACGTAACCTTTTTTAGTTTGTCAGCTTAGTAGAATACAAAAGTACTGGGCTTATTTGTTAAATACTTAAATTTGAAAAGACCTAAGCTTTGGAACACTTCCCAGTTCACCCTGGCATTTTCCATGTATCGAAACACAGTGAACGGATGATGTTGGTATTCTTTGAAATTTTCTTTTAATTTTTTGAAAGCTTTTTTAACTTTCAGATTTGCTGGACCTATCACTACCCTTAATTAGTTGTGTGCGTCTTGGGAGTATTACAAATATGGTTGATCGTGTTCGTGACCTCTTGATAAATCCAAAATAAACCATCACGAAACAAGTGAAAGATAATTATACTAAAAGCAGGCTTTTGCCATAACATGACTTTGAAAGAATACTTTCACAATCATGTTTCAACTATTTTGTACTGTGCTGGCCATGTTGCATTATGGTAACAGTTTTTCCTAAAGCTATGTTTCCGGTCATAATTACTATTTTGATTTTGACAAGCCAAACCTTCATAATATTGATATTTGGTTAATCGGAGTTAGGTGTTTTGAGGTTTAATCTTACACGTCATTGACATTGAAATTGATTAAAAATTATTTTTTCAGAAATCTTTTTTATTAAATAGATTTTTTTTAATAACTTTTAAGATTCTTCCGTTAAAAGCTGTTATCTACTTTTTTTTTTTATTAGTGCTTCTTAAAATTTTGTTTTCACATTATTAAACCACATTTGATGGTTTTTAGTTTGGTTTTTTACTATAAATGTTATTTTAATAATATTGTGTATATGATTTTTTTTTTTCTAATTTTTGTAACATTCTTAATTTCTTATTCAATATAGATAATAATTTATGAGGAAGAGCATTAAAGTGAGAATTTTTTTATATTTATAATTTAAAAAGTTAAAGAAAAGTAAAATTTATATTTCTTTTATTTATTTTTTATGAAAATTTGAAGGTATTAAAATTTTATATGAAATAGTTTTAAAATTTTGAATTTATAAATAGAGTAAAAATTAAGATTTACCTCTTGACAATTTACTTAATTCATATTATATACTTATAAGTTTAAAATATAGATGGCAATACTTTTTTCAGTAGAGTAAATTTTTATCTAAAATTGAATGTAAACTACAATTAAAAATAACTAACTATCAATTTTACAAATACATTTTAAATTATTATTTATAAAAAAATTTATCAAAATATTATAAATTCTAAAATTGTTATTAAAAGTGCTTACATAATCTTGTCAATTTAAAATAGAAACTAAATCAAAATTATTACAATTTTCAGACTAATTTAAATTCTAAAAGAGCAGTCTTTCCTATAACTTCACGAAGAGTATAATTCTAGGACACATTAGTCTTCATTTCAATTCCTAAAAAGTAATTATGAGGGTGAGTATTCACCGTTCCAGTAAATCCTTTATTTTATAAATGAAACAAGTCATACTAAATTATCATTAAATACAATATACACCAAAATAATGCTAGCTCATATATTATACTAAAGAATTTTCAGCAGATCAAGCATCATAACAATCACATCATTAATATTTCAAAACATACACTAAGATTATATCCTTTCATATATTCTTACATAGATCAAAATGTCATAATACATGTGTTATAATCATATTAATTGATGTATTACAATACATGTATTATATCTACACCCGTCGATGTATTACAATACCTATATTATAATCACACTAATCAATCTATTATGACTCACGTATTATAATCACATATCTCACAATTTCATTATCATTGTTCATAGGATCCCTTGAGGTCTTCTATAAGTATAGATAGTCGCTGGTTAGCCCATTACACAGATATAATGTATACAATAAAGGGTCTTTCAACGAAAGTATGGTCAGGAGTATTAGTCAGAAAATGAGTGTAAGACCATGTGATGCATTTGCATTCAATAGATTTTGTACACATAAGCGAATATCATTCACCAACCTACATATCCCCCAGACCTCCACAATCGGCTCCATATTCTATACTTTCAGTATCTCTGTAATTATCTATACACAATTTAGTCAATTTTTCATGACACATTTTCTTAGTAATTCTCAATATTCACCTCTATTTCCTTTCATCACTTTTCATGATAGTACAATTTTCACTCTTTTTCTTTTTCATCATAATACAATTTCACCATACCATGTCATTCATTACTTTAAACAAACAACCATAATCTCAACTCATATTCTAAAATGAAAAAGAGAAGATAATCACACACACGAATAGTCTTTCTATTATATGCAATCAATTTCACATCATACAAATCAATATAATATGCTAAAGGTTGGATACCTTCAAACTCAAATCAATCGTACAATTTAGAAATACATTGTCGGAGATCAGACTCTCTCAATTTTAAATAAAATCTTCTATCATAAAGTTTAGCATCATTCACAGCACACATATTATTCAAAATAAGAATTTATAATATTAACTATACATACATAATGATCGATAGTAAAATCATGAAACTTCTTAAAATGGTTTTATTTAGAGCTATGACTATGAGATTTATTTAAGTAGTTCCGGAAACAACCATATATTTTTCATGCCTAAAATTCTATTCTTAATACTAAGATTTTAAGAAAATATTAGAGTTCTATGATTCAAAATAAGAAACAAATGGAGTTTTCGAAGCAAAACACATAATAGGAGTTAGGGTTTGGAATCAACTTTCTTTACTTTGAAATAGGTCTCTTAAAACCAAAGGGATGAGAGCTGGTGTATCTAAGACCAATATCTCTTTAGGATTCAGAAGGAAGTGCAACATTTTGAAGGAGATGTTGTCCAAAGACCAAGTTTCTCCTATATATTACAAAGTAGAGTACTTTTAAGAAAGGAAAAAACAGAAATAGAAGTGAGATTGAAAGATTAAACTCCAAGAAACTTACTTGGGATCAAGAGGAAAGGATGTTAGAGCTCAAATTCGGAAGAGATTCAGGGTTCAAGAGAGTTTTATCGAAGGAAGGAAAGTAAGAGAGCAGGGAAAGAAGTGTGAGAAATGTTTCTCGACTTTCAATACAAGTTTTAGAATGAAAATTCCTTAAATATCCTTCAAAACTTATGAATTCTTGCTTGAGAGAGGTTATTCTTGTTTGAGCAAGAAAACCAAACAAAAATTGCTACTCTTTTGCTGATATATTTGCCGAGCAAGGGTATTTTTACTTGAGCAAAAACACGGTAGAGAACTATCCACTTATGTTATGAATTTTTGCTTACGCAACAAATTTCTTGCTTAAGTGAGAGTATAGATGAGAAAATCTAATTTATTCTTGTTTGAGCGAGAAAAATTTACTTGAGCTAAAAGGAATATTTTTTTTAATCATTTTTTTAAACTCTTCTATTTTTGTAAATAAAAAAATACAATTGAAAGTTTAGGATGTTACAGTTCTTTCTTGTGATCACTTATTTACTTTAATATTTTTATTTATTATACCTTATCTTTTTATCATGCTTTTACTTTAACATCCAATATTTATTATCACATCATGTAATTAGTTATATTGCAGTATGATAAAAATGTTTTTTTTTTCTAGTTTGATAGGTATTAAATGATTGTAAATAATTTTTAATGTTTTTCTCTACTATAATTATCTAACTTGTATTCTAACTGTATCATATTCATTAATTTCTTTATTAAAATTGATCACAAGTATGAAAACTTAGAGACGTGTGATATAATATTATTTTCAATTTTAACACATAATCCTCATCTAGTTTTTGTTAAAATTGTCATGCATATACTGTCTTTCTTACATTTAAGTGAAAATTTTTAGATTTTAAAGTCTCTATTCATAATTTAGGTTTAATATAAATCTTTTTTTTTATTTCTTAACTAATATTATGTCATTTGCGAAGAGTTATGTAATTAAAATTATATTTTGTATGTACCAAGTGATGAATCCATATTTTGACTGATATTTTAGCATAATTCTAACACAAATGATAAGAAAAATGTATAAAGAAAGCAGAAAAACTTAGAAAAAGAGAAGGAATTGAATTTTGTTTACATATGTAGTTATTTTAGCAATTGTGAAATTTTTGCTTAGGAATTAAGTTTTTAATCTTGTTTTTGTAGGAATAAATTGAGCAAGGATCATATTCATGGAAGTTTGATGACAAGGAAGAGGAAAGAAGCAAGTCTGGACTCCAAAAACTCAAGAATAAGAAATTGCAGACTGGGCGTGATCACTATTGTCAGTGAAAGTGATCACTTCAGAGCTCAAAGAAGAAGTGAAGCCTGGGCGTTACCACTATTGTCATCAAAAGTGATCGTTCCAGAGAGTCTTCAACTTGGCGAGCTGCGCGTAGTCACTTTTATCAGAAAAAGTGATAACGCGCAACTACCTTGGCTCTGCGTTGTCACTTTTATCATCAAGAGTGATAGTTCCAGAGAGCTCTCAATATCAGGAAAATGCGCGTGGCCACTATTTCTGGGAAAAGTGTTAACGCGCAACCAAAAACTCTCTGCGTAACTACTATTTCTCATAAAAGTGATAACGTGAAAATCTGGGAAATTTTATAAATACCAGAAGCGATTCGAAAAAAAGGGATTCTGTTCATTTTCAGTTTTTTTAGTTAGTTTCTGGATAGAGGAAGTGAGAGAGAGGAGTGGGGATTCAGATCTTGGAGCTTCACGAAGAGGAATTGGAGTGGAGCAAGCTTCCATGGCGTTTCTGAGTTTCTTCTTCTCTTCTTCTCTTTCTTTTTCTTCTTCTGCTGCCATGGCTGTGTAATTCATTCATAGTTAGGGATTGTAGATCTGAAATGAACATGTTGAATTGATTTGGATCTGGATTTCAAGCTTTGGAATAGATTGAGTGATTGATTCTGAACTTCACGTGTGAATTGAATGGAAATTTGATTAACTAAATTCAGAGGAACCTTTGTCAATGGAAATTGAATTTGTTCTTCAGATCTGAACCAATCACCGAGATTTTAGTTTTCTTAGGGATAAGGAACTTTGATCTTGCAATCTTTTGGTTTCTTACACTTAAAGCAACATTAAATTGAATTAGATCTAAGGAATTAGAATGGTTTAATTGAATGTTAGGTTCACTGAGTTAAGGAATTAACCTCTGAATAGTATAAAGTGAAACTGATTGTCATTCTTTCCAATTGCTTGTTAATTCAGAACTTTATTGATTAAAGATTGGAGTTTTGGTGAAGCAATTCCC